GTGTTTTTAAACTCATTGAAAAAATAGATTCCTTCCGCGCTAATACCGCGATAACATTTGGATGTACATGTTGCTTCATCCTTTGTTGATTCATAAACTGTGAAATTTTGTTGCTTATTGTTCCATTTTATGTCACATGAATAGAGAGTAATGCTGCTGGGATTTCCATTGAAAGTCCATTTCTCATATTGCCCACTATGAAGTGTTTTTTCTCCAAGATCATTGTTTGAAGACCGACAATGTAAAACAAGAACGGTGTTAACTTGCAAGTCATTTTCAACTTGTACAGTTATCTTCTTACCGCTCATATGACCTCCCCGACAATGAACATGACTAGTTGTCATTATCACCAATATAACAAAAATAGTCAAGGCACTCATCGTAATGTTTTTTTTCAATGAAAAGTTTTCACAAATTTAATTATCAAATCTCATATACTATCAAACATTATATATAGATGTTTCATTTCCTCCACCGTTATCTTTATGTAGCACATGGATTAATAAAACTTGTGGCTACATGTTTTCTAAATCTGAATTGTTATAGAAGTGGTAAACAATTTCATCTAATTGAAAACTAAAATTAAATTGGTAGTCAAATTTTATTAATAAATATTTAGGGTAGCATATTTAAAATATCATAAATTAAGACAAATTTTTTTACTAGGTTATGTTAAATAACCGTTTTAAATTTAAAAAATTAATAGAAAAAATGATATTAAATTTATAATGATTATTAAAGCTTTTATGGATGTCAAAATAAGTCGAATGTTTTGATAAACCATTAACACCATTATCCACAAGTAGAGATTGAATTTTTTATCATACATGTCAATTTACACTGGATTAATATTGAGTTGTTTTATATAGATTTTTTTAAGCAAATCCCAAATTTAAAATGGTTAAAAGTCTTTTATTAATTTTTAGTAAAAAAGGAAGGTAATATCAATAATAGTAACAATAATAATTATTATTAAAATATTAATATTATTAAAATTATAATAATGATTTAAAATTTATTTTAATAGAACATATCATTTGACTAGATTCATATTAGCCACTTCTTTATATTTTAAATTAATAACAAAATAGTAACTTTTTTTGATAAGTACAAAATTATGTTATTTCTCAAATAATGGGAATGTTGGTTACAGATTTCAAAAACAAAATATTTGTTGTATTTAAAAAAATAAGTTTAGCAAAATTTTTTTGAAATTTTAATTTTGTTCTAAAACTCATTTTAATAGATTGAAAGATTAGATTTTTCATACTATAACATATATATGCATAATTAAAGATTGAAAAATAGATGAAAGTACAATTTTTAAAAAAATATGTAAGTAAAATATGATTTATATGAAAAGATATTTCAAGTAGCTGCAAATTTAATTGATTTTTAAAAAAATTGATATCCAAATGAAAATTATAGTAAAAGTATGAAATATCTAAAATTATATTTTAAGAATAACTATTTACACCAATTTTTATGAGAATATTTTTTTCTAAAAATATATTCTTTTTTATATTTTAAGAAAAAAGTGTACCACTAAGACTAAGAAAATCATTTTATTAAAAATGGAACCAAACAAGCCCAATCTCTAATGGAAAAATTGTTTTAAATAACATCTCATAAAAAAATCATTTTAAGTATTATACATTTTTACCAATATTTTTTGATGGATGATAACAACTTTAAAAAATGAAAAGCTATTTTGAGTAGTTTCTCACAATTTAATTTTGAAATAATTTAATGTTTATAATGTGAAAGCATGTTAAAATAAAAATATAAGTATTAATATGTCAAAATTGTTCTTTTGATTTTTGTTAAAACAATTATTCTTTCCCAATAAATATACTTTTGTATCAACATTCTAGAACCAAGACAACCATGTTTCATTAAAGCACTCATTCATTAAAATAACTTTATTTAAGGCATAGTAACAATTTTACATATTCCATTGGAAAATAAATTTAGGTTTTTTCAAAACCTACTCGCGTCAAGCGGTCAAACTCAATAACAATTTATTTAAAAACATATATTAGTAAATGAAACAATGTCAATGAGAACAACATCAAAATTTTAATCTACTTGATTTATTTAATGACTTAAACAATGTAGGCGTAGATTTCTTCTTATCTTCCCAGAAATATTTTCTAAACTTTAAAGAAATACTCCTAACCAATGTAATTAAAAAAAAACAAGAATATTATCAAAAGACAAATTTGTAATGTGATGTTTATTAAACCGTGCTTCCAAGTCAAGAAAGAATTTGAATGGAAAAATAAATTATCTATGTGAAACTACAAAATATTATGGCAAAAAAACACATAACATATTTTCTTTGGCTTCTTGAAGGATAAATGATAGATGCGTAAGAAAAAGGTAACAATAATACTTAAAACAGAGTAATAAATATAAAATGGATAATATTATGAATGTAATTATTTGATTTTTTATTTTACATTTTCCTTATAGTTAAAAATATACTAATTTAATGAATATCGCTTTTCCCAAGTGTTTTTAAACTCATTGAAAAAATAGATTCCTTCTGCGCTAATACCGCGATAACATTTGGATGTACATGTTGCTTCATCCTTTGTTGATTCATAAACTGTGAAATTTTGTTGCTTATTATTCCATTTTATGTCACATGAATAGAGAGTAATGCTGCTGGGATTTCCATTGAAAGTCCATTTCTCATATTGCCCACTATGAAGTGTTTTTTCTCCAAGATCATTGTTTGAAGACCGACAATGTAAAACAAGAACGGTGTCAACTTGCAAGTCATTTTCAACTTGTACAGTTATCTTCTTACCGCTCATATGACCTCCCCGACAATGAACATGACTAGTTGTCATTATCACCAATATAACAAAAATAGTCAAGGCACTCATCGTAATGTTTTTTTTCAATGAAAAGTTTTCACAAATTTAATTATCAAATCTCATATACTATCAAACATTATATATAGATGTTTTATTTCCTCCACCGTTATCTTTATGTAGCACATGGATTAATAAAACTTGTGGCTACATGTTTTCTAAATCTGAATTGTTATAGAAGTGGTAAACAATTTCATCTAATTGAAAACTAAAATTAAATTGGTAGTCAAATTTTATTAATAAATATTTAGGGTAGCATATTTAAAATATCATAAATTAAGACAAATTTTTTTACTAGGTTATGTTAAATAACCGTTTTAAATTTAAAAAATTAATAGAAAAAATGATATTAAATTTATAATGATTATTAAAGCTTTTATGGATGTCAAAATAAGTCGAATGTTTTGATAAACCATTAACACCATTATCCACAAGTAGAGATTGAATTTTTTATCATACATGTCAATTTACACTGGATTAATATTGAGTTGTTTTATATAGATTTTTTTAAGCAAATCCCAAATTTAAAATGGTTAAAAGTCTTTTATTAATTTTTAGTAAAAAAGGAAGGTAATATCAATAATAGTAACAATAATAATTATTATTAAAATATTAATATTATTAAAATTATAATAATGATTTAAAATTTATTTTAATAGAACATATCATTTGACTAGATTCATATTAGCCACTTCTTTATATTTTAAATTAATAACAAAATAGTAACTTTTTTTGATAAGTACAAAATTATGTTATTTCTCAAATAATGGGAATGTTGGTTACAGATTTCAAAAACAAAATATTTGTTGTATTTAAAAAAATAAGTTTAGCAAAATTTTTTTGAAATTTTAATTTTGTTCTAAAACTCATTTTAATAGATTGAAAGATTAGATTTTTCATACTATAACATATATATGCATAATTAAAGATTGAAAAATAGATGAAAGTACAATTTTTAAAAAAATATGTAAGTAAAATATGATTTATATGAAAAGATATTTCAAGTAGCTGCAAATTTAATTGATTTTTAAAAAAATTGATATCCAAATGAAAATTATAGTAAAAGTATGAAATATCTAAAATTATATTTTAAGAATAACTATTTACACCAATTTTTATGAGAATATTTTTTTCTAAAAATATATTCTTTTTTATATTTTAAGAAAAAAGTGTACCACTAAGACTAAGAAAATCATTTTATTAAAAATGGAACCAAACAAGCCCAATCTCTAATGGAAAAATTGTTTTAAATAACATCTCATAAAAAAATCATTTTAAGTATTATACATTTTTACCAATATTTTTTGATGGATGATAACAACTTTAAAAAATGAAAAGCTATTTTGAGTAGTTTCTCACAATTTAATTTTGAAATAATTTAATGTTTATAATGTGAAAGCATGTTAAAATAAAAATATAAGTATTAATATGTCAAAATTGTTCTTTTGATTTTTGTTAAAACAATTATTCTTTCCCAATAAATATACTTTTGTATCAACATTCTAGAACCAAGACAACCATGTTTCATTAAAGCACTCATTCATTAAAATAACTTTATTTAAGGCATAGTAACAATTTTACATATTCCATTGGAAAATAAATTTAGGTTTTTTCAAAACCTACTCGCGTCAAGCGGTCAAACTCAATAACAATTTATTTAAAAACATATATTAGTAAATGAAACAATGTCAATGAGAACAACATCAAAATTTTAATCTACTTGATTTATTTAATGACTTAAACAATGTAGGCGTAGATTTCTTCTTATCTTCCCAGAAATATTTTCTAAACTTTAAAGAAATACTCCTAACCAATGTAATTAAAAAAAAACAAGAATATTATCAAAAGACAAATTTGTAATGTGATGTTTATTAAACCGTGCTTCCAAGTCAAGAAAGAATTTGAATGGAAAAATAAATTATCTATGTGAAACTACAAAATATTATGGCAAAAAAACACATAACATATTTTCTTTGGCTTCTTGAAGGATAAATGATAGATGCGTAAGAAAAAGGTAACAATAATACTTAAAACAGAGTAATAAATATAAAATGGATAATATTATGAATGTAATTATTTGATTTTTTATTTTACATTTTCCTTATAGTTAAAAATATACTAATTTAATGAATATCGCTTTTCCCAAGTGTTTTTAAACTCATTGAAAAAATAGATTCCTTCTGCGCTAATACCGCGATAACATTTGGATGTACATGTTGCTTCATCCTTTGTTGATTCATAAACTGTGAAATTTTGTTGCTTATTATTCCATTTTATGTCACATGAATAGAGAGTAATGCTGCTGGGATTTCCATTGAAAGTCCATTTCTCATATTGCCCACTATGAAGTGTTTTTTCTCCAAGATCATTGTTTGAAGACCGACAATGTAAAACAAGAACGGTGTCAACTTGCAAGTCATTTTCAACTTGTACAGTTATCTTCTTACCGCTCATATGACCTCCCCGACAATGAACATGACTAGTTGTCATTATCACCAATATAACAAAAATAGTCAAGGCACTCATCGTAATGTTTTTTTTCAATGAAAAGTTTTCACAAATTTAATTATCAAATCTCATATACTATCAAACATTATATATAGATGTTTTATTTCCTCCACCGTTATCTTTATGTAGCACATGGATTAATAAAACTTGTGGCTACATGTTTTCTAAATCTGAATTGTTATAGAAGTGGTAAACAATTTCATCTAATTGAAAACTAAAATTAAATTGGTAGTCAAATTTTATTAATAAATATTTAGGGTAGCATATTTAAAATATCATAAATTAAGACAAATTTTTTTACTAGGTTATGTTAAATAACCGTTTTAAATTTAAAAAATTAATAGAAAAAATGATATTAAATTTATAATGATTATTAAAGCTTTTATGGATGTCAAAATAAGTCGAATGTTTTGATAAACCATTAACACCATTATCCACAAGTAGAGATTGAATTTTTTATCATACATGTCAATTTACACTGGATTAATATTGAGTTGTTTTATATAGATTTTTTTAAGCAAATCCCAAATTTAAAATGGTTAAAAGTCTTTTATTAATTTTTAGTAAAAAAGGAATGTAATATCAATAATAGTAATAATAATAATAATTATTAAAATATTAATATTATTAAAATTATAATAATGATTTAAAATTTATTTTAATAGAACATATCATTTGACTAGATTCATATTAGCCACTTCTTTATATTTTAAATTAATAACAAAATAGTAACTTTTTTTGATAAGTACAAAATTATTTTATTTCTCAAATAATGGGAATGTTGGTTCCAGATTTCAAAAACAAAATATTTGTTGTATTTAAAAAAATAAGTTTAGCAAAATTATTTTGAAATTTTAATTTTGTTCTAAAACTCATTTTAATAGATTGAAAGATTAGATTTTTCATACTATAACATATATATGCATAATTAAAGATTGAAAAATAGATGAAAGTACAATTTTTAAAAAAATATGTAAGTAAAATATGATTTATATGAAAAGATATTTCAAGTAGCTGCAAATTTAATTGATTTTTAAAAAAATTGATATCCAAATGAAAATTATAGTAAAAGTATGAAATATCTAAAATTATATTTTAAGAATAACTATTTACACCAATTTTTATGAGAATATTTTTTTCTAAAAATATATATTTTTTTATATTTTAAGAAAAAAGTGTACCACTAAGACTAAGAAAATCATTTTATTAAAAATGGAACCAAACAAGCCCAATCTCTAATGGAAAAATTGTTTTAAATAACATCTCATAAAAAAATCATTTTAAGTATTATACATTTTTACCAATATTTTTTGATGGATGATAAGAACTTTAAAAAATGAAAAGCTATTTTGAGTAGTTTCTCACAATTTAATTTTGAAATAATTTAATGTTTATAATGTGAAAGCATGTTAAAATAAAAATATAAGTATTAATATGTCAAAATTGTTCTTTTGATTTTTGTTAAAACAATTATTCTTTCCCAATAAATATACTTTTGTATCAACATTCTAGAACCAAGACAACCATGTTTCATTAAAGCACTCATTCATTAAAATAACTTTATTTAAGGCATAGTAACAATTTTACATATTCCATTGGAAAATAAATTTAGGTTTTTTCAAAACCTACTCGCGTCAAGCGGTCAAACTCAATAACAATTTATTTAAAAACATATATTAGTAAATGAAACAATGTCAATGAGAACAACATCAAAATTTTAATCTACTTGATTTATTTAATGACTTAAACAATGTAGGCGTAGATTTCTTCTTATCTTCCCAGAAATATTTTCTAAACTTTAAAGAAATACTCCTAACCAATGTAATTAAAAAAAAACAAGAATATTATCAAAAGACAAATTTGTAATGTGACGTTTATTAAATCGTGCTTCCAAGTCAAGAAAGAATTTGAATGGAAAAATAAATTATCTATGTGAAACTACAAAATATTATGGCAAAAAAACACATAACATATTTTCTTTGGCTTCTTGAAGGATAAATGATAGATGCGTAAGAAAAAGGTAATAATAATACTTAAAACAGAGTAATAAATATAAAATGGATAATATTATGAATGTAATTATTTGATTTTTTATTTTACATTTTCCTTATAGTTAAAAATATACTAATTTAATGAATATCGCTTTTCCCAAGTGTTTTTAAACTCATTGAAAAAATAGATTCCTTGTGCGCTAATACCGCGATAACATTTGGATGTACATGTTGCTTCATCCTTTGTTGATTCATAAACTGTGAAATTTTGTTGCTTATTGTTCCATTTTATGTCACATGAATAGAGAGTAATGCTGTTGGGATTTCCATTGAAAGTCCATTTCTCATATTGCCCACTATGAAGTGTTTTTTCTCCAAGATCATTGTTTGAAGACCGACAATGTAAAACAAGAACGGTGTCAACTTGCAAGTCATTTTCAACTTGTACAGTTATCTTCTTACCGCTCATATGACCTCCCCGACAATGAACATGACTAGTTGTCATTATCACCAATATAACAAAAATAGTCAAGGCACTCATCGTAATGTTTTTTTTCAATGAAAAGTTTTCACAAATTTAATTATCAAATCTCATATACTATCAAACATTATATATAGATGTTTTATTTCCTCCACCGTTATCTTTATGTAGCACATGGATTAATAAAACTTGTGGCTACATGTTTTCTAAATCTGAATTGTTATAGAAGTGGTAAACAATTTCATCTAATTGAAAACTAAAATTAAATTGGTAGTCAAATTTTATTAATAAATATTTAGGGTAGCATATTTAAAATATCATAAATTAAGACAAATTTTTTTACTAGGTTATGTTAAATAACCGTTTTAAATTTAAAAAATTAATAGAAAAAATGATATTAAATTTATAATGATTATTAAAGCTTTTATGGATGTCAAAATAAGTCGAATGTTTTGATAAACCATTAACACCATTTTCCACAAGCAGAGATTGAATTTTTTATCATACATATCAATTTACACTGGACTAATATTGAGTTGTTTTATATAGATTTTTTTAAGCAAATCCCAAATTTAAAATGGTTAAAAGTCTTTTATTAATTTTTAGTAAAAAAGGAATGTAATATCAATAATAGTAATAATAATAATAATTATTAAAATATTAATATTATTAAAATTATAATAATAATTTAAAATTTATTTTAATAGAACATATCATTTGACTAGATTCATATTAGCCACTTCTTTATATTTTAAATTAATAACAAAATAGTAACTTTTTTTGATAAGTACAAAATTATTTTATTTCTCAAATAATGGGAATGTTGGTTACAGATTTCAAAAACAAAATATTTGTTGTATTTAAAAAAATAAGTTTAGCAAAATTTTTTTGAAATTTTAATTTTGTTCTAAAACTCATTTTAATAGATTGAAAGATTAGATTTTTCATACTATAACATATATATGCATAATTAAAGATTGAAAAATAGATGAAAGTACAATTTTTAAAAAAATATGTAAGTAAAATATGATTTATATGAAAAGATATTTCAGGTAGCTGCAAATTTAATTGATTTTTAAAAAAATTGATATCCAAATGAAAATTATAGTAATAGTATGAAATATCTAAAATTATATTTTAAGAATAACTATTAACACCAATTTTTATGAGAATATTTTTTTCTAAAAATATATATTTTTTTATATTTTAAGAAAAAATTGTACCACTAAGAAAATCAATTTATTAAAAATGGAACCAAACAAGCCCAATCTCTAATGGAAAAATTGTTTTAAATAACATCTCATAAAAAAATCATTTTAAGTATTATACATTTTTACCAATATTTTTTGATGGATGATAGCAAATTTAAAAAATGAAAAGCTATTTTGAGTAGTTTCTCACAATTTAATTTTGAAATAATTTAATGTTTATAATGTTAAAGCATGTTAAAATAAAAATATAAGTATTAATATGTCAAAATTGTTCTTTTGATTTTTGTTAAAACAATTATTCTTTCCCAATAAATATACTTTTGTATCAACATTCTAGAACCAAGACAACCATGTTTCATTAAAGCACTCATTCATTAAAATAACTTTATTTAAGGCATAGTAACAATTTTACATATTCCATTGGAAAATAAATTTAGGTTTTTTCAAAACCTACTCGCGTCAAGCGGTCAAACTCAATAACAATTTATTTAAAAACATATATTAGTAAATGAAACAATGTCAATGAGAACAACATCAAAATTTTAATCTACTTGATTTATTTAATGACTTAAACAATGTATGCGTAGATTTCTTCTTATCTTCCCAGAAATATTTTCTAAACTTTAAAGAAATACTCCTAACCAATGTAATTAATAAAAAAACAAGAATATTATCAAAAGACAAATTTGTAATGTGATGTTTATTAAACCGTGCTTCCAAGTCAAGAAAGAATTTGAATGGAAAAATAAAATATCTATGTGAAACTACAAAATATTATGTCAAAAAAACACATAACATATTTTCTTTGGCTTCTTGAAGGATAAATGATAGATGCGTAAGAAAAAGGTAACAATAATACTTAAAACAGAGTAATAAATATAAAATGGATAATATTATGAATGTAATTATTTGATTTTTTATTTTACATTTTCCTTATAGTTAAAAATATACTAATTTAATGAATATCGCTTTTCCCAAGTGTTTTTAAACTCATTGAAAAAATAGATTCCTTGTGCGCTAATACCGCGATAACATTTGGATGTACATGTTGCTTCATCCTTTGTTGATTCATAAACTGTGAAATTTTGTTGCTTATTGTTCCATTTTATGTCACATGAATAGAGAGTAATGCTGTTGGGATTTCCATTGAAAGTCCATTTCTCATATTGCCCACTATGAAGTGTTTTTTCTCCAAGATCATTGTTTGAAGACCGACAATGTAAAACAAGAACGGTGTCAACTTGCAATTTTCAACTTGTACAATTATCTTCTTACCGCTCGTATGACCTCCCCGACAATGAACATGACTAGTTGTCATTATCACCAATATAACAA